TAAAAGATATGAAAATATGTCATGAGATAGAGTTTACTTAATGTCTACTTTAATGAAATTTATAACTGTTAATTTCTATTGTTTATTTTTAAGAATAGATAATTATATAATTAATTTTATATTAATTGGTATTTTTTTTTAAATCTCATTTAATATAAATAAGAAAATAATAATGTACAAGATAATATGCAATAATGAAGTAATATAAAATGACATAGAAGAATTTGCAAATGCTGATTCTGTTTTCCAATTTCTGTGAAAAAATGTATGTATAGGCTATAGATTATATATAGCATGTTACAAATTATTCAATATATTTATATTTAAAATATAGATTCCAAAACGTAAAATATATTTAATGTGTTGCAGAAAAACTTGTACAACGTCGAATATTCGTAAATACTAAAAATCTATTTTGTTAGTCGTGGATATATTTAAATGAAGATATTATATATTGATTAAACAATATTATATCTCAGAGTAAAAAATTATAGATGAAATATATCTAATTCCGTTTACATTTTCTCACATTACTCGTACACATGTTTACTCCCATCAATTCTAAATTGTAACTGACCTATCCAAATACTCTCTCATTTGTTCTCTTTTGTTCCCTGTATCATATAAATATACACAGTCCATACAACACTTCATTCTGTAAGGGGAGGAGAAGAGAAGACTGGATAAAAGTGAGTTTATCACTCGGTGGCCAATTGTACTTTATTCCGTTGGGTACGATATTCACAAGCCGCTCTCCTTTCTTACGTAGAATCTCCGAGGCTCGCTCCTCGAGCTGCTCTAGGTGGGCCTTCTTTGTTAACACGTTAAGTACCCAGCCCGTTGCTTGCCGTTCCGTTCAGGCCCATACTCGGCCGTCAAGTGGGCCACCGGCAGAGGTCGAAGTGTTCATAAAACTCGGAAATACTGCACCAATTGTTATAACAAGAATTCCCAAACGTTAGGTCCAAAGATGGCGAAGAATTTAACACCAAAAATTAGCATCTTTTGGTCCTAGTCTGGGCCGGTTCCTGAGGACCGGCCGGGTCCAAACGGAAAATCTAGCGCCGGTCCCTTGGGACCGGAGTGGCACTTAACTTGGTAATCCGCTGCGCAGATCAAGCGGATAGCGGCTTCGTTCTGAGACTTCGGTTATCACTGATACCTGCTTGTCACTCACGCCGTCTTATCGGAAACCAGAGCTGGCAACTCTTACATATTCTTACAATTCATTACACGTAAACTCGATATGCTCGTTCTTTCTTACGTACATCATTTATTTTACATGAATTGTGATAAGATCGGATTAATAAGTGGAAAGGAATTTTTGATTCAAACTATATTTTATATTTTTTGGTGGTATAAAGTATACGGTGGCTCGAAAGTCTCCTATGATACGTAGTGCAGATGGTGGATTGTCAAAAAGTGTATCGTCGAACCCGTCAGCTGGACTTTTATAGACCCTATGACAATTCATTGTGTCACTCAACCTTGATTCGAGAATTGATACGCTGGATGGTTCCTCGAAGCAAAGATAGATCTCGATACAGGGTGACGCCATCCAAATAAAGATTCCTCTCACACAATGTATATTAAAAATCTGTGTCGACTATTACCACAGATTTTGTATTGCAAGGATTGATTGTAGAATTTATGCTAATTAGACACGTTTTTCTCCTTTCGTTGTGCACTACAGAACCATCGAGTCTTGAACACTACCTCTGGAGCACCAAGTGTATTTCTAATGGCAATAACGTTTATCGGTGTATATGTACAGTAAGTTCTTTGTTCTGATATCAGAGACCCTGTATACAATTGGCTAACTGAATCACGTGGTGTCCATTTCCTTCGCAATACGACACTGGCTGCACGTTACTCGTGGAAGAAAATCAGTCCTTTTGTGCAACACACACCTCGTCAAATCCTTTTGTGCCACCGAAATATTCCTCACAAATTAATTAGTGTTAAGTGTTAACAAGCATCAAGTTATATTCCAGTTCCTATTCAGCTGATAAATAATGTTAGATATATATTATATTCTGCGTAGCATATTATGCGCCTTTTTTCACCTTTTATGCATGATATATTATATATGTTGTATTATATATAATTGCTTAATTTTATTTTCTAAGCTTATCCTATGTTTCTTCTTCCTGTGTTGTTTGTGTCAGTTATCTGACCAGAGAAAATGTGATGAAAAATATATCATCAAACGGAAATGAAGAGTGGCTATGACGTATTGTGATATGCATACTGCAATTCTTCAAAAGGCGATCGTTATTTAACATTGGAAAGGTGACTATTTACAAATAGTGAGAAAGCGTCGATTAATCAATATACCGGAGGCCACAACTGAAAAACCGGCAGAATAAAATTCATCGCTATACGGCCGCTTTGAAGGTGAGATATTTAAAATCAAAAAGCGTTTGCTTTTTCAAACAGCTGCGCTGGAAATGTATTCGATGTAACAAGAGGAACTGTATTCATAGCGCTATGAAAATGAAAAACGGATTAAGATAAAAATATAAACAATGCTCTTTCGTTACGTAGCTGAAGAACGAAAAATGACGTGTTGCCGCGAAGGTGACTGATTAAATATGTTAATTTTTTCAATTGAACGTCCTTTTTATAAGTCATTTTCACATTTATTGCATTTTAACGTTGCATCATATAGTGGATTTAACGAGGAAGGTATCGCAAATATTCTTCATCGAAAATAACGTAACGTATTTTGAATGGGGACAATGACACAGTTTAGGAAGAAATTTATATGTTTTTAAAAATCGTATTTAACATTAGAACTACCTATCTTTAATGGGTACCTAACTATGACGTGCAAAGATTATAGCAATTTCAGCCATACCATGAATATGAGTTAATATATTGATTACAGTTCTTTCTTAATATGAATTGATACCAATTTTATTCTTAAACCAGTGTTATTAACAATCTAGTGTTAATAACGAGACGACAGAATATATATGTATACATAGGTTGATTAAAAAGCAGAGTTTAAATTTTGAGAAGCATATACTACATATTGGGAAAAGTGAAAACATTTGTAATCAACAGAATCAACTTTTGGACCAGTTTTTTGACACACGAAGATAGCAGAGTGCCAAAACAAAGCTAGGTTCTTCATTAAATCTCTTGATTAGATATCAAAATATTCTAACATTTTTCGGAATACATTTGGAATAATTTTTTTATATTTAATGAAACTGCCAAAAATGAGCTGCATCCATATCCTCATCCGCACGGAATATACCATAATTTAAAACGAAAAGAAAGTAAAAATTGCACAATCGCGTATAAAGAAGTTGTTGACGAGTATGACGGAGAGTCGCGAAAAAACAATCAGTAAGTGAATGACAGTCATTACATATAGACGTGTGTGAAAGAGTCCTCGAGAGATTATATCGCAGTTAGAAGCGAATTTATTTTACGAGATTTAGTTATAATCTATGTTGCGTTGTTATTGTGTTAAATAAATCTTCTTATTAGTTTATCCATTTACTCACATTTAGTTTCATTTTTAAGAGCATTGAAAAATTCACTCGAAATATCTTTGACTGCTGACAAACTTTGATATCAATTCGTACTATAATAGAAAATGGAACGAAATTAAAAAGCAGCACAATCTTATGTAAAATTTTTTATTCCATTGTTATAATTCATGAATTATGAATATTGAAACATTTGCTGAAAATATTCTTGCCAACTGACGCGTCTCTATATTTTCTTACACTTTTAATAAAAATGACGTAACTTTAATTTTAGATATAGAGATATGTACTATCATTGATTTTACTTTAACTTGTTTTATTGTAATCAGTACGCACGTGTTTATATCACAGAGTGTCTTTAAAAATTAACGACTCACACAGCAACGCTCATCCTCGTACACAGACACTCATGGCTACGTGCTTGCGATATCGATTTACAGTTGATTTTAGGTATTTACGTATTTCTTCACAAAAAGTAAAGCAGAAATCAAAAATAACTATCACGTCCAAGACCAATTCCATTTTCATCGGGAATTTCATCAAGATACCCCTAATAGATGACGAACCTCCTCGTGTTCGTTTTTACCATAACAGAAAATAAAACGGAAATTAGAAATAGCAAAGTGTTCAAAATTTCTTTTACCTACAATTTTATAAATATAAACATATTTAATCAAAATATCCTGTATCAAATATAAAAAATCAGTATTGGCCTGCGGAATTAATAAAAGAAAAACAAGAATCTGAATTAAAATGGTGTTCAGGGCTTGTTTAAATTCCATCTTCCAGTGATAACCATATAAAGATTTCATCAAAACGTTTCTAAAAGCATATTGAATTTGCTCACACCAAACTTCGTATAATCCGCTAGTAGGATAAGAGTATAGTCACTGTCAAAAACAATGACACACCCTGCGTGGGTCCTTCTGTGATCATTCGCTGTATGCGCATACTTTTCCGTTCACGTTCGTAGCATGTGCGAATTTTCCAGTAGGCATTTGTAATATGTGCGTACTTTTCCATAAATGTTCGTAATAGGTTGGGAAAAAATTGTCTTTTTTCCCGTACATCCATCGTGTCTGCGAGATTCGCAGCGCTCATGGATTCTCCTACGGCCACGTGCAGTCTGTAGACTTCCCTGGAAATTTATGGCGCGTATAGATTTTCCCGTAGACGTTGATAGTGTGTGTCGACTTTTCCGCGCACGTTGCCAGGGTGTACGTAGATTTTCCTGTGAACATTCGCGGTGTGTGCACTGGTGGATTACATGCGTGAGCAGGTTTGTGCGGCGAAGGAGACATTAATCCTGCCTACTCGAAAATCGTACGGGGTGAATTATGGTATGCCTTTCCTCTCTTTCATAATTCTCTTAGCTATGGATTTTTCGCGAAACGTCACTGGTTTATTCGAGGTCAAAGGATTCATTCTTGCGAGTTGTATGAAATACACTGCTAGCCTGGTGTTATTGTCTTTGACAACGAGTATACTCTCTGTATCGTGACCTAACTTACCGTCGCTAGTACTGTACGAGGGTTTGCTGTGCCCCTGAGACATTCTGGCCTAATTTTTAAATATTTACAGCTGAAAAACGATGTCTCAAATGCAATTGTGTCGTGTCGTGTCTTATTTCTGCTTATGGAAATTCTCGACGGAATCCCTGTGAAGGGAAGTTTTTGTCTTGAAGATGACCTTCACGGGTTGTCGAATATTCTGAGTGGAAATTTATTTATTTCTATTTATTTTTATTTTATTTACTTTAATTATATTTATTTTAGTCTTATTTATTTTATTTATGTTCGTTTCATTTTTATTTACTACATATGTATTTATTTCATTTTTACTTATACAATTTGTATTTATTTTATTAATATTTTATTTATTTTACTCTCTCTTTCTCCCTCTCTCTCTCTTATTATATGTTGTATGAAAATTGTTATTAAAATTAGATAACTTTCCTGATCTCTCAAGACGAATAATCTCCAAGAATCAGTCTAGAAACTTGAAATTTCGTCAACACTGACGCATCCAATAGAATGAAAGAATTAGATTGTACCAAAATGTACGCATACTTTATGAATATTCAAACTCAATTTTCTTCAAAATGAAAATCTGTTTAGAAAAATTCTTCTGTACATTTCTGATTCAGTTTTATAAGAAGAATCAGCCTAATTTCAGTCGGATATTATTTTGCAAATTTCAGGCAATTTCTTAGACACCCTATATATCTTTTATTTTTCTAAAATCTTGCTATAAATGTTGCATTTTCTCGCAAAAAATTATTATCATCAACACCTTTCCTGTTTACACTTTTAACGAATAAGAAAATTCATGACTATCATTGACAGATGTGTTTCTACTATTGATTCGTTGTTATACAAATGTTGATTTACAAACAAATTTTTCCTAATGAGAAAGGTTTCAGAAAATAACACTAAGTATACATGACAACAAAGTAAAATTAAAACAGGTAAATTAAATGCATATTTTAATTTAATGTTCTCACCGTAAATTTCTTTACAAATTCTCTACTCTCTGTATTCTGTAACTATAACTCTGCCACCATAATTTTAATTCAGTATCTGCGTGAATTATAATTTTGGATGTTAGAAAAATACCTAAAATTTGTAAATAGATTTTACATTTCCTTTTGAATACTTGTGAATACTGATTTTCATTGCATTATGCTTAAAATTGGAGGAGATACTTCAATTCGTCTGGACATTTGCATAAGTAGTATAACCATAATTTTGAATTATGTTTAATTGACTGAAGAGAATACTACTGTACTCTACTACTCTATACCTAATCCAACACCTAATCTATACGTAATCTATACCTGTCAAACGTTATATTCGTTTCGCAAAATTATACTTTTCCCAATATTAAATATCATAAATAAGAAAAACATTAATAGTAAATACGTTTAATAAATACTATTAATAAATACTGTTAATCCACTAAATTAATTTATCACGTAATTCATACTACATTACTAAAATGCAAGTGTGATATATTAAAATTTTAAACACTCTACAGGGTTCCAAACAATTTCACTCGATATAGGAAATTTCTTAGTTTATAAAGTCGAGACTATTTTCTCGAACTTTACTTATATCACTTATTTCTATCCAAGAGTATAATTGTTAATTGTAATTATTGAACAGTAATTTCCAATTATAATTTTTGCTATCTCATATACGCATTCTTTAAATCATATATATTGCATTTGTACAAGCAAATTCTTTCTTTCCTTGTTTCCTTATTTCTTTCACTGACTGTAAACGTTCTTGAAAGGCAGCCAGATATATTTAGTTGAATCCTTGAGTTTTCATCCGTCCTTCGTTATGTTAATTTTTCCAATACGTCCACGAGATTGGACAATATTAATATAAACATACTATTAAAATTATGAATTAATCGAAGATTTTGACAAGTGACTTTAGTCGCTGTTAGTATGCTGCGAGAGTCAGGAGACGAATAATTATAGTCATCGTTAGTATATCACGTAAGTCAGGAGTTGGATAACTATAGTTACCGTTAGTATGCTACGAGAGTTAGGAGTTATATGGTTATAGTCATCGTTGGTATACCGTGTAAGTTAGGAGTTGAGTGACTATAGTCGCCATTTTTTAGTTTACCATGGTGCACCTCGAAAGTGAAATGTAGAATAATTAAAATCATAGTTAATTGAACACCATAGTCGAGCATTGGATGATTATAGTCACGGTTTCTACACCGTGAGAGACAGGCACTGAGTAACTATAGTCTCTATTAATTGTGAGGGTCCTTCCCCTCAGGTCCCTTTCCCCTGGTCACAGGTGTCCTCGTTGGCGGTGTAGCTAGATGGGGCATAAGGAAAAGGAAGGGATGCGTTTCGTCCCGGTCCTGCTAGTAGACTTATCACTAAGGCTACTCTAGCAGGCCAATTTTTACCAATTTCCAATTTCACATACGTTTACTACGTCAGAAACAATAATATTCATATAAAAAAGGAACCAAAACGTACAAAAGGGTTACAAATGAATACCTAATGACTACGAGATCGATGGCTCCAGCGTGAAGCACTCGCGATCTAGGATCAAACTTAATCTACCGCACTTATCGCTATAAGGTAACATAAACTTAAGAACTATCTTATATTAGCATGTGGGTTTGCCTATGTACAAAAAATGCACGAAAATTATACAGCTTTTGGTTTTAAGTGGGTAAGGGGGTGGAAAAATAAATATAGATAAATAAAATAGATAAATAAATAAAATAAATAATTAGATAAATAGGAGGAAAGGGGGATGAAGGAAGAGGAGGTAGATGGGGTATATATGGTTTTTATTTATTTCAAAATTATATTATATATTAGCAGACCCTTCCTTAGGCTGTGATGCTATTGGAAGGTCGGGGAGTTATATATATAGGAATTGGAGGTGTAGCGTCCTACGGTATCGAATCTCTTCGATTTCCAAGAACGCTTATCACGCGCCAAATTAATATTGCGTGACTAGTTGTGATAATAAGGATCCAGAATGTGTGTGGTCAAAAGAGAGTGTTTATTTAGAGAAAAGTGTAGAATAGTTATAATGTAGACGTTAACGGAGTACCGTTTCGAACACGCGTTTGTATGTGTAATTTAGATGTTTTAAGGATTGGTGCCGAAGACGAACTGAACTTTCGATTTTGCTCTATGTCCTGTCACGTCGTGTTCGGTCAGGTGTTTTCTCTAGTTTAGTTCTGATTGGGTAAAATAGATGTTGGTGGTGGAAAGGTAAAGAGTTTTAATTGGACAGAGGGTGTGACATAAGGACCTTTGGCTAAGGAGTAGGAAACTGTCAAGGAGCCGATTTCTGATGGTCAATGACGTGATTTATAAGTGCCGTCCGTCCGTCGCTTGTTGGGTCTGTCACAAGTGGGTCCCATCTGTCGCGTCTGGTACTAGTAAAATTCCTAATTTTGCTTTACCTTTATAAGCTTAATCCGCTAGAACGGCGTTGAGGCACATCGAACCTCCGGAATTGCAGTCGCGGTATAAAATATAAAATAAACCGTTAGGTCTGTTAAAAGTGTAGGCCTTAATTATAAAATCATATCCTAAACACGCTCTCCGGGACGGAACACGTTGTTTTCCCATAGTTATCGTTGGTACACCTCAAAAGTCAATTCTTAGCTGATCACAGTCACCGTTAATATCGATAAGATTAATAATCTCAGGTACTCATTGTCGGTCACTGTTGCACCGCGTGGATGTAGATAAGCTCCACGCGGAGGGGGCAGCGTTGTTATACTTGTGTTGCCCCTTTTCTCAGCGTGGCGAATCTTTACGAGACACTGAGCACTTAGGTGTTGTAATAAAGCGCAGTTTGCTTGGTTATATTTACACTTTATTACGCGATTATGATTCGTTTATGTGTGATTAGTGTGTGTGCTGTATCGTCTCCCGTTTTCTGTCTTCTCGTTTTCTCCCAACTACCATCTTACGTCTTCGACTCCTCAATACCGTCTGATGTGTTTTATCTGAACTCCGAAACCGTCTGATGTTTTCTGTGTCAATTCTCGCTAACTTCATCTGATGTGTTCTGTTTGATTTCTCCAAACCGTCTTACGTCTTCGACTTCTCACGATCGTCCGATGTCTTGTTTTATAATTTTTTGATCCCCAAGGAGGACGGCGAGGCGCGTCCCCCAAGTATTATTGTCGTCGCAACAATCACAATAACTTTCCCATGATCTTATCACGCTTATGACGTAGTCACAGTTATGACTATGCCAAGAACTATCCACTCACTGGTTAATTTTTAAATTGCTTTCATAATTCCCGATACATTTGAGAGTAAAATTTGAATAATAATTCCATAAATTTATATCCACTTTATATAAAATATGAATACGAATAGTTCACATAGGAATGAAATTTCTGCTCTTTCAGTTGTTTAATCTCAAATTATCATCTACATCGACCGATTTTATATAGCTCGATGTGCATAACTGATATACTGGCACGAAGAAGAGAATGCAGAGCAATGTATTGCGTCCAAGATCGAACTACTTAGCACATATCAGCAGAATGAGTACTCGTCAAAGATCAAGTACCTTTGTTGCAAAGACAGTGAAGGTCGAAGGAAGTATTTGCGTGGACGAAGTGATTAAGCGAGGATTTTAGAGAATTCTATCCTGATTTGAATCCCTCTAATATGAAATTTCAAAGAGCCATTACAAATACTGGGACTGTAGTAGATATACAGGATGCTCACGCTATTTTATGTTCATAAATCTATTCACAACTTATATAGGGTGAAAAGGAAAGATTCGTAACTTCTAAAATTTATAGCACTCGTTAAATGAACATACTTAGGTCAAGAGACTAATATTTACAGAGCTATAAATAATTTCTGATTTCGTATAAGAACACGTTTCAGATTTTGAAATATAGGTTGTCGGAGTTGCCTAAATATCCGCCGTTTCATTAAAAATAAATAAATATAATATGTCATATAATAAAAATATGAAGATGACCTTGAAATGTTCAAAAAATCTTCACTTGTCCAAAAAATTATTATCATACAATGGTCCCTTTCGAACTGCATAATTTTTGTTACAGAAGCCTTTTCATCTTCCTAAAAGTGACGGTGAAATTCAAGGAAATCAATGTTAATATATAAAGGAAGCCTCATTTAAATAGATCCAGCTAAATATCTCCGAAACTATTGTTAATACGAAACAATGATTCAGATAATAGTTCGATGGTCGAAAGGAACATAATCCGTTGCAGGTAAGTTTTCCTTAGGTGAACACGTAGAGGACATATTAATGGGAAATTTTATTTTTCTTTAATTTAAATTTTATTTTCTGTTGAAAAGTTCTAAACCATGTATCGTAGAAAATCATTTACAAAAATTTGTATGCCAGGAAGTCCTGTGAAGATCACATTTCAATTTTGTATACATATCTCTTTTACTCGTTTCAAGTTATTTTTAGTAACTGAGTGTACATGAAACACAAAAATCCAAAATGTAACGAAATATCACAGAAACCCGACTTGATCCTTGTTGCACGAAATTCACTGGTAAGGTATTAATTTCCCGACTAATTGCAATAGTACGTTATGATTGTAACACTCGATATCTTCATAATGCTATAATGGGTCTTCTTTCTAATTCGTTGCATTTAATCCGCTTACAACCATCGCTTACTTTCCTCGTCGAAGGAATTTAAGAATCTTTTGTTTTGACAGGTTTCCTTCAGAAAAGTAAGAGGAGTTAAACGTGACAGTGCTCCCTCCCTCTCTCTGTCTCTCTCTCTCTCTTTCTCTTTCTCTCTTTCTCTTTCATCCGCTTGTTCCATTGTCTCCGTTCATCCATCTCCCTCTTGCCTTTCCTCTTCCTGTTTCCCTCTTTGCGATGTCACTTCGACATTCTTTTTCAAGGGACGCTGGTTCGATATTAGGAAATACCTTCTGCCAATTCCCTGTTACATAAGGTGAGTGTGTCCCTATAAAAACCATGGGGTTTCCCGGCACACTCTTCCGAATTGGTTTTAGATTAAGAATTTTTATACGCCCAGGTAAGAGGGTCGAGGAACGATGGTATTCCAAGCTCTCCGATTATTTGCTTACACGGGACACCTATGGCAGAGACAATTTTCTGATTGAAAACAATATTTATGGGATCCATATTTGTTGCTAGACAAAGTTCGAAAATGTTGCAGAGCTTGTGCGAAATGAAAGAAAGCGTAAAGCTGAAACACATTTATCTTCATTCGTGATTTCAATATTTCCTTGTATAGTGATTTATGCAAATGAAAAATATAATGAAGCTAGTTTACTTTGCGTATATATTATACGTGTACGCATGTTTATTTATTGTAACAGCGTCATATTGCACATATTTATTTTAGTAGAGTTGGTATACCATGTCAAATTGTGATATATATTATTCATGGTGTTCCAGAAATGGTAGTACAACCGGGAAGAGAGTGATTTTACATGAAAAACGAATCGAAAATAAAGAATAAAATTTTTTGATTCGAAGCTTCGTTTTAAGGGATATCGACTTTGAATATTCACTGGTTGTGAGTACACGTGCACTTAGCTATGTCTTACAATTAGATGCATACACCACCAATACATTACCAACAGTGGAACAACCGAAGAGGTGGTGATTCTACATGAAAAAACGAATCGAAAATAAAGAATAAAAGTTTTTCATTCGAAGCTTCATTTTCGAGAAAATCGACTTTGAATATTCACTGAGTGCACGCTGAATATATGCTGGTATACCGATGGGCCATGCGCCTTAGCCAAAGTTAAATGCACGCGCACTCTGTGAATATTCAAAGTCGATTTTCTTGACAACGAAGCGACAAATGACAAAATTTTATTCTTTATTTTCGATTCGTTTTTTCATGTAGAATCATCTTCTCCTCGATTGTACCACCGATATTCATGTATCGATGGTATATTCATATAAGCCATAGCTAAGTACACGCATACTCGGTGACTATTTAAAGTTGGTTTCTCGAAAACGAAATTTCGAATCAAAAAATTTTATTCGATTTACACGATTCGTTTCTACGTGTAGAATCACTCCCTTCCCGATCGTGCTACCATTGTTGGGACAGTTGTATATAATATATATTTCGTTATTCTATATTCGTTATATATTTTATTGTAGTATATTTATATTATGTACTATTATATTATTTTACTATAATTTGCGCTATATATTGTTATTTTAATATCAAAATTTTATTTTATTTCAGAACGAATAATAGCATGATATTAAAATTGCATTTGAAAAATTCTTATTTAGCGATATTCTCTATTTAATGCACGTCTCTGTAGATTTCTCGATCTTTTGTCCTTGTTCACTGCACTTATGATAGAATATTTATCCTTCTTATCTTTCATTTGTGTATTATAAAAATTACTAAAAATGATGCTTCTTACAGTATATTTATAAATATTTTTCAGTATAAATGTGATCAATACAAAGTGTAGTAAAAATTCGGACTTTAGTTGAACATTTGCAACAGAATTCAATTCTTGTTAAACAGGACTGATTTTGGATCTGTTTTGTTTCAGGACTTAAAGTTGGACTCAATTATTTGACCTAATACTCCAAGATTTATTATTAACTTTTTCGTTAAAATTATCGTTAAAAACGATACCGAAGGGTACTATATGGAAGAAATAACTATATTACGTCACTGAAGTTTAAATTTATTAACTGCGTTTAATACAAACAGTTATATTTGCAATTCTTCAATATTGCGAAGGCCAATTATAAGAAATTTTACATAGTATATAATACATATAATATATTCGTATATAATATATAATGATAATCGTAATACGTTATATAATGGTATATCATATTTATGTTATATTATTCAATATTGTAATATAGAACACACAGTGATAGAATGAATTTCGAAACCTGCACAATTTCCATCACCAAGAGTCACATAAGAATAACACGAAACCAATCGCTAATCTCCACTATTCGATCAGTTGCACAATTTAAACAAATCCCTTTAACCTATTACATATGACTAAAAAATTAAAAAAAGAAATAGAAATGAAGTAAAAAAGGAAAACTGAAAGGAAAGAAAAGAAGAAAGAAGACACTAAACCAATCTCCTCAACTCATCATATACCACTACAAATTTGAATAGGAATAAAAATATAGAGGTAAAAAGAAGAATAGAAGTGAAAGAAAAGAAGAAAGAAGATATGAAATGAATACTTCCAACCCATCATATACCACTATAAAATTAAAAAAAGAAATAAAAATATAGGAAAAACAGAAGAATGAAAGTGAAAGAAAAGAAGAAAAAAGACACGAAACAAATCTCCTCAACTCATCATATACCACTACAAACTTGAATAGGAATAAAAATATAGAGGTAAAAAGAAGAATAGAAGTGAAAGGAAAGAAGAAAGAAGAAAGAAGAAAGAAGATATGAAATGAATACTTCCAACCCATCATATACCACTATAAAATTAAAAAAAGAAATAAAAATATAGGAAAAACAGAAGATTGAAAGTAAAAAAAGAAGAAAAAAGACACGAAACAAATCTCCTCAACTCATCATATACCACTATAAATTTGAATAGGAATAAAAATATAGAGGTAAAAAGAAGAATAGAAGTGAAAGGAAAGAAGAAAGAGGAAAGAAGAAAGAAGAAAGAAGATATGAAATGAATACTTTCAACCCATCATATACCACTAAAAAATTAAAAAAAGAAATAAAAATATAGGAAAAACAGAAGATTGAAAGTAAAAAAAGAAAAAAGAAGACACGAAACAAATCTCCTCAACTCATCATATACCACTATAAATTTGAAAAGGAATAAAAATATAGAGGTAAAAAGAAGATTAGAAGTGAAAGGAAAGAAGAAAGAAAATATGAAATGAATACTTCCAACCCATCATATACCACTATAAAATTAAAAAAAGAAATAAAAATATAGGAAAAACAGAAGAATGAAAGTGAAAGAAAGGAAGAAAAAAGACACGAAACAAATGCCTTCAACCCATCATATACCTATATCAATAAAAAATTTAAGAGAAATACAAAAATATAAGGAAAAAAGGAAGAATGGAAGTGAAAGGAAAGAAGGAAGATACGAAACAAATCTCCTCGTCTCGTCAAATACCACTAAAAAATAAAAAGAAAAAAAAAGGAAAAGGAGAAAAAAGGAAAAATGAAAGTGAAGCAAGAGAAGAAATAAGATACGAAACGATCTAATAGATAAACGCGCGTACGAGAAACGCCACGCATCCCGGTTTACGGAACGTAGGGGGCGGCTGACGGCGGGGACGCTGGAGGGTCTCGCTACACGGGTACATGGTTCCGTATAAAATAAAGGATGACTCCAGTTCGCCTGGGGCGGGTTCCCGCTCGTCTATCGGCCGGCAATATCAGCTCGAATTGAAATAGTCGTGATATTTCTTTGAGAGGCGAGAAGGAAACAGCCGTGACCGAGACGGCGCGCGACCCGTCGGAATAAGAAATAATAAGAAACGAGAAATAGATTCTTGCGGGATACAGGCAATGCCGCGGGAGAAATGGAAGCGTTAGCTCAGTCGTCCTTTACAGATTTCTTAGCGGGCCGCTCCATCAGCAGGATACTCCAACTCTTTTGTCGCTATCGGCGGACGCCACGCTATTGGCCGACAATCACTGCGAAGGAACAAAGGGAACGAAAGGCGCGGATGAAGGAAGGAACGAATACTCGATTGAATCGGCCCGAACCAAAGATATTAGATCAGACCAAAGCTATTATTTTTTGAAAGCACAGATATACAAGCGAAGAATTATTTGGAGATCTCTTTCGATCTTCCTTTCGGTATTTCGGATACCAATAACTGGTAAACGTGTTTCGTGCTGCTGTGAAAGAAAGGTGCGGGAATGAGGATACGTTGCTCGGATTAAATGAACAATTTATGATGATTGACTTGTCACTGGCTTGGATGAAATATGTGTGAGTAAATGGATAAACTAATAAGAAGATTTACTTAACACAATAACAGCATAACATAAATTATAACTAAATCTCGTAAAATATTCTTCACTTTTTGTGAAGAAATACGTAAATACCTAAAATCAACTGTAAATCGATATTGCAAGCACTGTAGTGTTTGTACGAGGATGAGCGTTGCTGTGTGAGTCGTTAATTTTTAAAGACACTCTGTGATATAAACACGTGCGTACTGATTACAATAAAACAAGTTAAAGTAAAACCAATGATAGTACATATCTCTATATCTAAAATTAAAGTTACGTCATTTTTATTAAAAGTGTAAGAAAATATAGAGACGCGTCAGTTGGCAAGAATATTTTCAGCAAATGTTTCAATATTCATAATTCATGAATTATAACAATGGAATAGAAAATTTTACATAAGATTGTGCTGCTTTTTAATTTCGTTTTATTTTCTATTACTTACATAAGATTGTGCTGCTTTTTAATTTCGTTCCATTTTCTATTATAGTACGAATTGATATCAAGGTTTGTCAGCAGCCAAAGATATTTCGAGTGAATTTTTCAATGCTCTTAAAAATGAAACTAAATGTGAGTAAATGGATAAACTAATAAGAAGATTTATTTAACACAATAACAGCGCAACATAGATTATAACTAAATCTCGTAAAATAAATTCGCTTCTAACTGCGATATAATCTCTCGAGGACTCTTTCACACACAACGTCTATATCTAATGACTGTCATTCATCTGCTGATTGTTTTTTCGCGACTCTCCGTCATACTCGTCACACGTACATTCTTCCACACAAAAATGATTAATCGAAATGACGTTAATTGTTGTTTGGTGAGCAATGCATTTCAGTCAACGTTCTTTCTTTGGTCAATTGTATGAAAAGTTGAATATTTGAGAATTTAAGAAATATTGCTAATTTTTTTATCATTGTACTGAAATAATCGCAGTGCAT